CACCAGAGGAAGCCGATGCGAGGGACGTGTCTGTGGTCATGTCAGACTGCCCCGATTCAGAGCTCCGGTCTATTATTAACCCCAGGAAAAGGGTAATTACAGCGGGACATCTCCTGGAAGAACTCCAAAGCCCGACTTTTGTGCGCGCATACCGAAGTCCCGAGTCGCCCCGTCCCTTGGCAAAAACGGCGACCCTTATTCGCGCTGCTATTTCTGAAACTTGGCTTTATTATCCCGCCGCAGTGCTCGGGATGCTTTCTCATGTCAAACTGGAGCGGCCAGTTCGTTCTCAGCGCACCCACGCTCTTTGCGCGCAGCGTGGGCGTGCGTAATTTGCGCTCATTAGGCTATTAGTTTTTCCCAAAGTTGTGTAAGGCGTTATTTTGAGGACAATTAATAAAGAATCGCACGCATGAATAGACAATAATGTCAAAAATAGAGGCTCGTTTGTGTGAGAGCAGAAATCAGGCACTAAAGTAATCACCAGCTCAGCTCCAGAGTGACAACACATTCCCCTTTCAAGTTATGGAAATAAGCTGAAACTGACTTTAATGCCTGTATGTTGTTCTTAAAATACGGCGGTTTGGGGTAGCACCCGCGTGAGAATGGGGGGTGGGGAGCAAGAGGGGGTCCTTGATTGCAACATCAAACACTGGTGTCGTCAGCAATACGTGCCAAGCACCGCCTGTTCCAAAATAAATATTGACGTGATCGTTGTATTCAAATGAGCGGCATGACCGGACACGGACGGGCCAATCAGAGCTCATCGTATCATTACACCTTCTTTTCAGAAATCATTCATAACGCCGATGCGTCAAACACTCACAGAGCGACCGGCTATAAATACGGCTGCGCGCAACGCACAGTTAGACATCTTCCAAAAATCACACGAAAGGCACAGAGTAGCAATCGTGGGAATTCAGTCCGGCGCCTTTTCATCTGCAAATTTTCTCTGAACTGCTCTTTATTACATATTCCAATTTGATACTCAGAACATGTTGGCTATGCGTGGATTGAGGCACGTAGCTGTGGCAGTGGCTGTGTGCTCGCTGCTCGTTACGGTGACGCTGGGGTCCCCGGTGGTGGGGTCAGAACCGATCCGATGCGCCCCGTGTACCCCGGAACGGCTGAGCCAGTGTCCGGCGGTGGCGCCCGGCTGTGCCGAGGTGCTGCGGGAGCCCGGCTGCGGATGCTGCCTCGCCTGCGCCCTGAAGGCGGGGGAGCTGTGCGGGATCTACACGGCGCCGTGTGGCTCCGGATTGAGATGCACTCCGAGACCCGGCGACCCCCGGCCACTGCATTCCCTCACCCGCGGACAGGCCGTATGCACGGAGAGCGCTGCGCCGGCGCCCACCCCGGAGCCCCAGACTCAAGGTAGGCCTCCCACGTCCACGGTCACACATCCCACAGCCGCACCGCTGGAATCAGACGAGTTCCTCATATATGTGATTTAAGTCCAGCCAGTCAGACTCTTTCCTCATTCATTCATTCATTCATTCATTCATTTGCTTGTTTCCTCCACCAGACCAGGGAGAGCCAGACGCTGAGGTGGAGAACTCAGCCATCACAGTCTCCAGCTACCTCCCCGGTCTCCCCTTTGACCCGCGGGCTGTGACTGAGGCTCAGGAGAGCATGAAAGCCAAACTCATCGCCATTCGCAGGAAACTGGTGGAGCAGGTGAGACAAACGTTGCTGGCGTGAAAATGTAGATTTTTGAGAGGATGAAAGTTTTTTGGAGGTTTTTTAAAGATGACCGGTGACCACCAGGGGGAGCTGGCGCGCTGTTTGAAATTAGAGGGATGCAACGAGACTCATGTTTCCTTAAGTTTTATTTGTAGTTTGATATCGGAACCCCCGTGTTTTTGCTGCTTGCGAAAAAGTGATAATGATGTTTTGATTAATCCTTTCGCCGCTGCTTCTTCTGTTTAGGGTCCTTGCCATCTGGAATTGGTGACTGCTTTGGACAAGATTACCAAATCCCAAGAGAAACAAGGAGATAAATTCACCAAATTCTACCTCCCCAACTGTGACAAGCGTGGCCTTTACAAACCCAAGCAGGTTGGTGTCTTTTGAGGATGATGAACACAGACTTTAGGCATTGGTGAGGCTAAGATTTGCACAGCATGATTACACAAGTTATCATAAGAGTTGTTGTTTTTTGTTTTGTATTTTCAAATCAATTAATACATAAATATGAAACATGATATTTTATTTGTTGCAAGCTTTCTCAGCAAACTTGTGTATGTGAGCTTCAAGCAGATTTTTCTCAGGCTTCTCATAGGAGATCTGCTTTGGTTGACTAAACCAAAGCAGCAGGTCTTACTGGGTCTCAAATTGGCCTTAATAAAATCAGTTTAAATTGTGCAGTACATCTTGGACCCATATGGGATTCCTCTTCACACAGTTATTCTGCATCCAGCCTGTAGAGGTGATTAACACGGAGCCATTATGTAAGCTGTAGACCATCCCATCTGGGGCCCATTACTTATCTAATTTCTTACCTATATGAGATACATACGGAAAGCATGCCGGGATTGGTAATGCAACAAAATCACTCTCATATATTCTTTAAAACTCTTATGTTAATGTTGGCATGTGTTATTCTGTTTTTGATATGTAAACCCAAGCAAAATTATTTAATTCCATATAGTCCACATGTGTTCTGCTCAGCAAGTTTACAAGCTATTAGTTGGGTAATTAGTCAGGCTATCTGCTTAGGTAGCGGCTGCAGTTGGAAGCTGTTCATACATCCCACTCATTGCTTCCCAGCTGCAGCTTTAAAACAGCAACGCTACATTAATAAAAAATGTTGGGTGGTATTCTTTCAGTTTCCACACCATGACTGTTCATGTTTTTTCAAAAGTGTCTTTTTGGTAGGCAAGGGAAAACTACAGTAGCCTTATCGAGCCAGCTGACTAGCAGTGTGCAGCGATAGGTTGGAGACAGGAAATCTGACACAGCCAGAGAAAACTCTCAGAGCTAACATTTTGTTTACACTCTGTACAGGAATTTAACCATAGTAATAGTACTGAAAGGCATTTGACTGTTCTTTGAAACCATGTGTAACTTGATATGCACCAAGTTTCATTTTAAAGCTGATAAGTGCCTCGTGATCTGTGAAAATGAAAGCAGTTGAAATAAGAAGGCTTTCTGTTTCTGTTTCCCCGACAGTGTGAATCATCTCTGGACGGACAAAAGGGGCGATGTTGGTGCGTGAACACCTGGAATGGCAAGCTTTTAAGTTCCAGCGACCTGCCTGCAGATGCCGAGTGTCCTTAAAGAGATTGGTCCGATCTCGCAGTGAAAGAGAGAAAAAAAGAAGAAAAAAAAAGAAACGAAGAAGCAAGCCACTATTTTTCCTTTTTTTTTTTGGGTAGCTGTTATTTATTGACCTTGTCCATGGTGGTGTTTAATTCAGGTACACTGTCATTACGGGGCTATAGGTCCCAACCACCCTGAACCCCAACCCCCCCTTCCTCTACAAACTCCCATCCCAAAGACACAAAGAAAATCTATTTTTGTTTTTTCTGTAAAGGAGATTTTAATGTTAATGCATTTACATTATGCTCTATAGCCTTATTTATTTTATTGCTTTTTATTTGTTATTTGTAATTATTCATGAGTATTTATATCTTTTTTGCCTTATTGTTATTACCTTATTATGTTTATGAGTGTATAAAGTGTATATATGTATCTTGGCCCCTACAGCTCCACAGCTGAGTTGAGCTCGCTCTACCCTTAAGGAGCTGTCTGGAGGTTTGGTTTGAGAAAAAAACCAAGCAAGAACAAAAGCACTGAGTGACCAAATCTCATTTAGAAGTTTTTCTAAATGATCTTCTTATTCCTTTTCACTTCATGTCTTTTTTTATTATTATTTTTATATTGTTTTTTTTTTTTTATTTAATGAAATTATACATCAGTTAATGCAAAAGCTCTCAGTTGGGAATCCTCTACACTCTCAGAAATCATTTCCCATGATCCCATGGGTCTGCAGATAGCATGATGGGTGGCAGTTCTCCCGAGCCTCCTCTCAAACGGGTATCTCTACATTAACCTACCTCCAATATTTACGTGTCTGCTGTCATTTTTTTTTTTGTTGATGTTTCTGTCCTCTTTGACCACATGACCACAAAGAGTGAGCCGCTTGACTCGGCTCTGTATACATGCTGCTGTTGGAGAGAGAATTGTATTTTATGTGGATCTATTCCAAAGTGACTAACTCTATGTACACTTTTGTTACTGACATGTAATAAAAGAAAAAAGGTGATATATTTAATAAAAACATTAATCTCAGTTGCACGCCTGTCATCTTTTCCACATTTTAACCACAAGTTTTATTATATTTTATTACATTCCAACAGTGCAGAAATTATGGAACCTGTCAGCGAACTTTCCAATGAATAGGTCTTTGGTTAAAACATAAAATAGAAAGAGGATAGATTTTGGTACTGAATACTGCGGTACCTCACACAAGACATCACTAGAATCTGACATGATTTGTTTTGCAGTATCACTGAATTATCTTATCAAAAAGATAATAGTGAAACCAGTTAAGAGCCATATCTGATAGACCCGCTTATGAAGTTTGTTAACCAAAATACTATGATCAATGGTTTGCAAGGGAGATGTTAGATCCAGTAGAGCCATTGGTGTTGTTGCCCTCAAATCTCCTGGCAGAATATCACTAGATGCTAGAGAAGCCTGGAGAAGTACTTAAGAAAGCCGGTGAGGCTGTAACTCAACAAAGATCTTCTATTTTTCTCCTTGGGGCAATAGTGGTGACAGTGGTAGGAGTAATCGGTGGGTTGTCGATTTGATCCCTTGCTTCAGTCTCAGTTGTGTCCATGGGCAAGACACTTGTCTGCATTGCCTGTGGGTGGTGGTCATAGGGACTGGTGCATGGCAGCTGTGGCTGCATTGTAGTAGCTTACTTTCATCATTGTGTGAACATTTGGGTGAATGACTGAAATCTAAAAAAATAAATCTTAGAAATGGGCCTGTAATTTTTGAATTTCAGGCTTTGCATGGCAGTCTCTGGATGTGAAAGTTGATAGAGACATACCCCAGGATAAATGTAGCTGTGAATTTTTCTGATAATCATTTGTGAAAACAATTTTAAAAATTACATTAAAGTTTAAAATGTGAGAGTTCAAATTGGATGAATATTTTTCCAAGGTACTATAATTGTGGAAATAATCACAAAAGCTCTAACATTCATGGCTTACTGCTTTCCAAGATCAAGTTACTCTGTCTGTAGTCTGTTTTGTTATCACAGAGATCTAAAGTGGAGGTGCTCGTCTAACTTTAGCCGGCTCAGCACTGCCTTTTGACCCGCTCTGTTTGCCTTGGTTGGGCACAGGAATTTGCCTCAACCTCTCATGCCCACTGCCAGCCTGCCTGGCACCACCAGATTTATTTTTGTTCTTTACAAATTCAACCTTTGCTTCATCTGTATTGACACATTCCACCCCAGAAGGGAGCTTGATTGCTTCCCCGGAGGAAATTTTTGTCCTGATTCCCTGCATTAATTAAAGGAATAGTTCACATTTTTCAGAATTGTTGTTCCAGTAATGGCTTATGAGCAAACAGTACCTTACTTGTAGTAAAAATAAAATGCTTTGCTTTTAGCTTTTCAGCCAGTGGCTAGTCATACAAAAGTAAATTTCAATCATCTTAAAACATCTCTGAATTTGAATATGTCATATTTCCAAAGATATTAGCATACTAACTTCCAAACAACCTGTTGACTTACTATTGGCATCTAACAATTTTTTTTTTTGGGGGGGGTGTGGGGGGGTCAAATAAATGTATCCCAATTTCTAAATGATTTTGGTGTGAGATTATGGTATTACTATATACTTCTGATTTACTTTAAGGGTTTTTACACATTTTCACCTGGGATATTATTGCATGTGGGTGGTGCTTAGACGATCATCGGTGCAAGTCACAAAAGAGACAAAGCAAAACATCATAGTCAAAGTTCTTAAAATGTGTTCATTTTTTATTTAAAAAATGACATTAAATACAAAGTATATTTTGATTCAAAATCATTTCCTCTCTTGGAAAAAAAATAGCTTTGTGATTTTTAGCTTGTACCACGAGAAGCTTGAATAAAACATTACAATACCCGTGAACAGAGAGAGCTTCAGCTTTAAGAAGCTGGTTTGAAAACTGAATAAAATGTGACAGAACAGAAATGTGACCCTGGTTCTGCGCTGACTGGCGGAGGCGGGATGGCTGAGTGTGCATGGAGGGAAGTGATGTTGTGAGAGGTTCACTGTCCTTAAGGGCTGGTGAACATGGATGGCCTGAATGCCACACTGAGAGGGAGTGGAGGTTAGCAACAGAAGGAAATGGTTCTTTAAGAAGAAAACATTCATTAGTGATTATAGTCCCCAAAAATACACTGAATCATATAGACTGTGCTGTGCAATCGGTGAGTCACTGAATTCTTCATAAGAAAACCAATTTTGGATCAGCTTATAATTCTTTCATAGATAAATAATTTTTATTTTTACCTACTGTACATGATGTCCAGTCAGACATGTAGCTGGCCGGGAAATATTACTAAAAATAACAATAAAAATAATAATATATAAAAAGACACACGTACAAATATTAGGGAGGGAATAGCTTAAATGTTTTCTGTTTGTTCCTCCCCTTAAATCAAGTCTTTGAATAGATGGGATTTAGCACCAATAGGCTGGTTGTAAATTGCCGCCATCTGAGTGTGTTACGTTGATGTGGTGCTACTGAGCTACTGGGCAGGCTCTCTTCGGCCGTCTCTCCACATTTCAAGTCTGTGCACAGGATATGGGAGAGCATGGGGCAGGAAGCCCCACGGAGAGGACCGCACTGCCTCTGTAAGACCCCCTGCCATGTGTGTGAATGCATTTTTGGTGCTGTGTCCACCTTGTGGAGATTTGTTGGCATGCGATCACACGAGCATTTTCTCAAAGAAACAAAAGCGTCAACAATAAAAACAAAGGAAAAAAAAAATAGATGCACTGAATGGAAAAACTCCAATGGGGTTGTTTGTTATGTTTGTTGCCAGTAGACCTGGTTTCTACTACAGTCCAAAAGTTTTAAACAACCCTTCTTTACTTCATAGTTTGCTTCCAAGCAGAAAGACTTTCTTGCAATGCTGCTAAAGTGGTTTAGATTAATTTCTCAAGCCTTTCTAAATGTTTTTCTGTAGGCTTATTTGGTCATATTGCAAGTTAAAGAGTTATGATTGGGTTATGTTGACTGTAAAAGACAGAGAGCGGCATTTAGACAGATATTCTTTGGACTTTGTCCACAGAGACACTTCTCAAACAGAAGTGTATCCATTTCACTGAACCAAAACTCAGTTTAATTCTGAGCTACAAAAAGAGCAGAAAAAATCTTTCTTGCAAATTTTATGAATTGATGACCAAAATAGACTTTTAGCAATTTTTTCCAGCATGCTTTATGTGTTATTCATAAAATCACACATGTGGGCTGGGAAGCATTCATGTAACTTTACTGACCTTTCAATAATCAAATGCAAAAGGGTCCTTCATTAACTTCTATGGTCCTCTGGTGTTAAAACAGTACATGTTATAACTAACCGGTACAGGTTACTACTAGTTAGTACTAACTAGTCAGTACTAGTTAGTACTAGTATTAACCTTGTGCTATTTCCCAAAATAAGATGCACAGTATACTGTCATGGTGAGGTAAAAGGACTGGATAGTTGAGTTGAATTTCAAGGAAAAAAAATTTTTTAAAGCCCTGAGAAAGTCACTAGAACTGCTGATCAAACACACTTTAAAAGATTACATGAAAGTCTGACAACCTGCAAGTTAAAGGGAAAAAAAGATATGCTGTAAAGCTTTTGCACAGAAATGGAGCTGAATTGTATAAATTTACTTTCATTTCTTTGTCTCAATGGAATATTATTGTTTTCTTATAACACGCTGTTAAATTTGGCATTACCGCCATGGAAAGGTACGCATACGCAGATAGGTCCAATTGTCTAGAGCTGCGTAGCAGCGGGGCAGCTAAAGTGCTATAAGTGCTTGTGCTTGAAGCATAGGGGGCAGCTGGCACCTGTGGCAGAGCAAAACGGTCACACCTGACTTGACCCGTAAAGAAAAAAAAAAAAAAAAAAAAAACTGAAACAAGCAAACACCATGTTGCACCACTAAGACAGGAAGAGGAGGGGTAAGGGATCAGGATCAGGCACATACACAGAAAGAGGGCAAGCTGAGGACAATGGCATGTGATTAAGGACTAGAGAACCTCAGAGCTGCAAGAACGATGTGAGAGAAGGATGAACACAGAACATGGGAGAACACGGGGGTGAAAAATTAATGTCGTGTTTGTAAACATGCAAGCAGATTTTAAGTAGATTGCACTGCTTCTACTAGAAAACCATCTCAAATCAGATGTTCCAGAAAATTTCAAGTGAGCAAACTAGCTTTTTAAATGCACTCATGAGAACCTATGAGGTTAGCTTGGACGGCTTTTCAATTCAGCAAACATGCAACAGTCAGGCTGGGGTGGTATTTTTAATATCCTTTCTTCAAAATCTTGTTAAACAGAGGATGAGGTGCCTTGGATCTCTGCAAGAAGTTATGCTGATTTACCTATTTGCTCTAAAACGATTATCAAAATCTAGAAATGTATTGTGCATTGGATGCTCTCAAGTCTTCTCAAGACTTCTCAAGTCTTAACATTTGAAACATAACTTGTCTCTTGCAATTAAGAAGGACAAAGGAGGTGTTAAAGATTTTAAGGCACTTTAACTGCACAGTTTGCCTTCAATCCATCTACCCTGCACATCAGTGACAAACAGCAAAAAGGCAGCAAAGAAAGGAGGTCAACGTGCTAAATAAAAAAAAACAAAAAACTCTGCCATTCCATACACCTTGCACTACTAAATGGACCCTGAGCCAGAAGGTGTTGTCTTTTTCTGCATTGTTTGATGGAGCAGGGTTGAAGGAAGGGAAGCTGTTTTGGGAAAGCATGCTCTCACACACCATCTTGCACAGACAGGCAGCTGTGAAAACGTAAGTTATGCAGGCGCTCACGGATTAAAAGACAAACAAACCTCGCGGTTACACACTTACAACAAACACACACATGATAGATCGGCGTTGGTGTGACTTTCTTAGAGGGGGGCGCGGGGTCACAGTCATAAACAAGTCCTCTTTAAAGTGAGTGGGAAAGTCCCTCCTTCCTCTCCCCCTTTAAAAATAGTGCAGATGATAGGATTTATTCTTTCCTCCCATTCTGTCTCAGCTTAACTGTTTTTTTATACATATTTT